AACTAATTACCATCATCTTCTCCACAGTTTGTCGTGTTTCTGGATCTAAGTCAGATAGTTTGCTGTTCTCTGGTTCAACTTTCTGAGTGTCAATTTCAGGATCTCCTTTTACCAATGATTTCCACCACTCCATTTGGTTGTGCTTTGTCAAAAGGATGGAGAGGGAACAATTATCCTCTACAAGAAGTGTGGGAATATTGTTATCCATTAGCAATATGTTTGTAGAATTGCAAAAGGTATTAGTTCATTTCCACAAAAGGTATTAGTTCATTTCCACAAAAGTATAAACTTAAATGGACTTTCAGTATCACAATTGCAATGGCATGATATAAACAATCTTGAAAAAAAATTGCCTTCTATAATCAGGTATAAATAATTGATCAACAATACAAAGATACAGTCATGGAAAAACAGTGATACCAAGTGAATTTTAAATGTTACAAGACTGAAATGCAATATAAAATTAACAAAAATATAAACCTCTTTTCTCTCAACCAAAAAAAAAAAATATTCAAAAGCATTTATGCATAAATTACAAGTAATTTGCATAAAATGAAAGAAAACAAAACTAGGGGAGAAAATGAGAACCAATCTCAATCAAAGCTAGAAAATTGATTTCAGATATGGCCAAAGATTTTACTAAAATGGAGTTTAAAATAAATGAGTAAGTTTGTATCACTATAAAACAAATAAAAACTGGTTTTCAAAAATTAATAGGTCATAAAATAGAATTCATTTTTATAACAGTTAAGCAAATTCTGCGCATAAAGAAATTGCATTAATTCTAATGCCACCACTTTCAAAAATATTTGGACATTTATAGGTATAAACTACAAAGCTCAATTCTTTAACTAATTCACAACTCTAATTAAAAATTTAGCACATGGGGCACCCAACATTGTTACTATACTAATACAACTGCAGATATCCACAATGGTACTAGCAATAACTTAATAATTGCAACTTGTAAACACTGGCTATAGGAGAACAATGGAAAAAGCTAAAAGAAGTGTCTGATTTGCAGTATTTTCTCTCATTTTCTTTAAGATAACATACCTATGCTCCAATAACAATCATCAGGTTTGACAGGCTGGAAAAGCTCCCCCTGCAAAAAAAAAAAAATGTTATTTGGATGTAAACCAACTAGGACCTATTTGATGGCATATGCACTAACTTACATCAATAACAGGGGGATGGCCCTTGAGTCCAACTTTTAGATGGTTCTTTTTTATCTCGCACACAACAAACCTTGATCTTGTTCCACTAGGAACTGGAACATAACAGTAACCTCTGCAGGGTCTGTGTCCAAGAGTATTTCTCCAGATCAAGACATTGCCTTTGTTTGGAACTGTTCAAACATTTTAAGAAAAGGTAAATCCATGACAGTCAGTAATCTAACTAGTATTTAGTTTTCACTTTCACATGCATCTAACAGTATCAATTTCAAAATCTCCCATGCCATACCTAATCATATATTAACACCAACTGGCATGCAACACAACACCCCCCCCCCCCCCCCCCCTCCCACAAGAAGAAACTAAAGAAGTCCTTTTTCCAGCATTCAACAGCGTTTATATCTCTTCATAGCCAAACATCTGATGGAATTAACAGAACACCACCATTATAATAAAATATACCATTTACACTTACCATTAGCCCCAATTTTGAGAATGCACATGTACACGAACCAACATACCCACAGCCACAGAAATATGGAGATAGGGAAAACTATAAAATTTAACATATAAGGAAAAGATTACACAAACATTGTAGCTCTAGAGCTATCTACAACATCCAAGGCTAGCAGAACCTACAGAAGGTTCAACATTTGGTAAGTGATTGAACCAAAGTATAACATCTGTTTCCTACATACCCACCTCAATTTCCAAACATTGGTTTTAGTTAAAATCTTTTACCAACACATTTCCAAAAGCTGTTAAAAAGGTTTTAGGTGAATGCCAAGCACAGCGAAAAGGAAACCAACCAACCCCTACTTACACCAAGCAATCATTAAGCTTCACTCAATCAAGCTCCCTGCTTACACCAAAACGTATAGGGACAAAATTTTTCCACCCAACATATTTCCATGTATTCTCTAGAAAACAAAATAACTAGTTACAAACCAAAGAATAAGAAATAAACACTCACACCCAAGTACAACTAGTAACTTTATTTTCAGTGATAGACATTCACTTATCATACCGCCATGACAAAAATAGAGGGACCTGAGCAGAAGCATTACATCATTAGTAGAACAAACTCAACCTTGACTAGAAACTCAAAGCTTGAAACTGGGCTCGAGCCTGCTTAACATGGGATTTTGCTTGCCGTATACAAAATACAAGAGCCTCCAGTCAAGTTTCAGTACAGAAAAAAGGATGTTACTTTTCTTCACTTCATTCCTCACAAACACAGGCAAACCAAGCTATAGACACAAATTCAAACCAAAAGAATCCAAAAATACAAAACCTTTCTCCTTTTAAACATTGTTTTTAACCACCCACAAATATTTTAAGCATTTTCTTAAACATTTGTTATCACCAAAGCTTAAACACACAATAGGAAACAAACATTTAGAAATGCAGACTTCAGCTTATATTACTTTCAAACAGGAAAGCCTCAAGTTTCCGTCTTTCCCCAAATTTCTCATCAATTAGCCTTGCATAATCGCATTTAAAATAAATAAATAAATAATAGTAATAAGAAATTTAAAAATTAAGAAATTTGAACCTCCCAAGCCAGAGCTAGTCTCTTCCTCCTTCTTATTATCCTTTTTATCGAGGTCCATTGGCTCCTTGTTCACTTCTTTCTTGAACTCCTTCTCTTCCTTCACTTCCTTCTTCTTTAACTCCACCTTCGGCGCTACCTCTTCAACCTTCTTCTTGCTCTTCTCCTTCGCAACCGTCACCATCGCCGCGATCTCCTTATCGACGTTCTCTTTTCGAAGAAAATCAGTCTCTTTCCCCAGAAAATCGAAAACCTTTCAAAAACCCTACAGGATTCGACGGATCCAAGCTCGCGTTAAACGACACGGGTTTACGAGGCGGCGATGAAGAAGTCGAGGGTTTCGCTTCCTCTTCTTGGTAGTCGGAGATTATTGCCATGATGACTAGTTAAAATGAGTCTGGCTCAGGTGCCGGGGAGTGTTTACGTGTGGTCGACTGTTGGAGTGCCGTCAGGGCTTACATACGGACAGGAGAGGACAGAAGTTCCCAGATTTCAACCCGAGAGTTCCAGAACCTCGCTTTCCTATATTTGCTAAAACGTCCCTCATTTATCTCTAAATTATTATAAATGTTACCACCGTTCACACTCAAGATTTTTCACTTTTTTAAGATATCAATTCAGAGGGCATTTATCATTTTTTAAATATTTTATCTCGATTTTTATTATTTGTCAGCATTTTCAAATCTTATAAATATTTTATTCAAATTTGAAATTGTGATTCAAATTCCCATTCGAACATTGCATTACTCATTAAATATTTGAATTTAAATTTGTTTAATGATTTGATAATTATGTTTAAAATAATTAATGAATTTAATAAATATTACATTGATTATAAAAAATAATATATTAAAAACTATTACTAATAATTGAGTTCAAATAGTGAACATTTTAAGATTACTATTCGTATATGTGATAATAATAATTTTTTTTAATCAAGTCAAATCATATAAACTATCAAATTATGATGTGTTCATTGACAATTTTTTTTTGTTTTTTTAACAATATATTTTTCTTTTTTTTCTTTTGTCTAAAAGCATGCATTATTTATTGAACATTTTACTAGTTTTTATTAACAACATAACAATTTCTCATACCTTGCTTAATATAGGTCTTCTTTCCCTAGTAGAGAATTTTAGAATAGCTAAAAGCTTTCTATCCTATTGGGCTATTGGGTAACTTCCACATTAAGAGAGGCCGAATGGCTGATTAAAGTTTCCTCCTCTTGCTGTGAACACTAGGGTCTGTCCTTTTTACCAAAGAAAGACAAAAGTAAACGTCCTGTGTTGAAACTTGAAAGAAAAGAAAAATCTTATAGTGCCAATAACACATTATTTGGGAAAATACTTTGGTTATGTCATAATTAATAAAAAACACTTCCAAATCGAAAAAACCAGCCACTTGATAAATCTCTACCTCTATTTGTACTAAAACCCAACTCAGAAAAGGGAAAACTTTTACTTGTCCCAATTAACCAAGAAAATGGAAACTAGTTAAATTAGAAGGTATACGGATTGAAACATCAAAGAAATTGAATAAATTAGGAAAGCGAATGACGGTTAATTTAATTTTTCTTGTTAGTTTACTTCAACCGAAATTTGCCACAGATTCATCACCAAGATTATTAGTTTAGAAAATGGAAAAGTCGTTTAAATAAATGATTAAACTGGGTTTGAGGGGAGTCATGGTCTCATGGCGCCCCTTTAGGCCTCAATAAATGTTCACCATGTGGTGAGACAAGTCAAAGCCAGCTCAGTAATTCTCACCGGATAAAAACTTACTCCAAAACTCAAATATTTTAACTAAGGTAGCCTCGCAATCTTTGAGATTTCTTCAAATCATTATACTATCATATGCAATCTGCCAGGAACACAGTCTCTGAGGCATGCCATGGGTAACATGGTTGTCTTCTTACATATGGAAATACAAGTAAAGACGATTTGATGACTTCACATACTTTCCATGTAACTGAGGCTATGGAGCCTCATGATCGCTTTATTCACTCGACGACTTTGGATTAAATTTTAAACAAAATCAAGTAACAAATTTTATATTGGCAACCCATGCGCTCTCTCTTTTCAACAATTTCGATCTTAGGAAGTGTAGGGGAGAAATTTTGAACTGATTCCCCGGCTAATCAAGATGCATCCTTAGCAAGCACAACAGCGTCCTTGAAGATTTTGAGAGATTCTTCTAAATCGTCGCAAAGTAGATGAGGGTCAGGAATCACATTTGGGTCAACTGCTAGAACAATGCTCATCTTGTTCACGTAGCTCTGAAAATGACATGTCAAAGCCTGCAACAACAATGGAAAAAGAAGGGGAACAAAGGATTCATTATTTCAGCAGAAGGGTACTAAGTTTTAGACGATATATATATATATATATATATATTATATAATATTAATGAGTATATGCTAGTTTATTGATGAATATAGGCTAGAATGAATGTCAAAGAGAAGAAAAATCCTCCAAGGTTTCAATTTGTCGAGGATTATATACCTGAGGATGGCCGTAAACACTGGGAGCAATGAAAGCTATTGGATGACCATAAAAGCTAATTTCTTCTACTGGTCCAGCTACATTTGAAAGCGTCATCGTAGTGTTGAACACGACCCTATACACCAAAGCTGCCGATAGCTGCAGTAACCAAATCGTTATGCTTCCACCAATGGCTTTGCTATATTTACATGAAATTCAGTTTTTGCTCTGAGTAAATTAGAAGAGATTCTGCTCGAGAAAATGAAGGGAAATTTTAATCATACCTTAGATCCAAATAACTTGACTACGCATTTGTTCGTCAAATGTGTGCATATAGCTTCAAGAGATTGCTTTTTCCGATCTCCTGCAGCTTTAGCTCCGCGAAGGTAATCTAAAGGATCATTTCTCAAAGCAATGGTGAAAGGGATGCAAATGTATCCGATTTGATTACCCCACTTGACCTTGGATTTCTTGTTCATCATATCAGCCAAAGCCTGTCCAATGAGAAGCATTAGAAGAAGAAGAAAGCATTTCCAAGGAATTTAAATCATTGTAAAAAGATAACACTATCGAAAAAAGACAAGAAAATTCTAAAATGCATATTCAATTTTTTTTTGAGGTGTGCAAAATCAATTCAGATTAATTATTCATCAAAATCTAATGCGATTTGGATAAAATGATTTGATCTAATTGGTTCATTGGATCAATTGAACCATAATATTAGATTCAATTGACTTTTTGATTAGTTATCGGTTTTAAAATTTTTGAAACAATCCACCTAAAAACCAAACTAATTTTGTATATATTTATATATATATTAATATATAAAATATTTTTATATATATTAAGAAGAATTAAGAGTAAACTTAATAAATAATATACTTAAAATATATTAAGGTATTATACATATATATATATTATAATCATAGTAATTTAATATTAGATATATATTTATTTACTTATAAATTTGTATTAATGTAAAATTACAAATTATATATTTTAAATAGTATAAGTTATATGTTATATTATAATATATGATAGTAAATATCCTACATAGTAATATATTATAATTATTACATTTTAGTAATATCTCGTAATATAAAATATTATGAATATATATAATTATATAAATAAATTATATATACATATATTTAATTTATAGATAAGCTTTATTATAATTTATAATAAACTTTATTTATATGATTACACTTAATAATTTTATTAATTATAAAACATATAATTTTATAAAACATTGATATAAAATATTTTAACATATAATTTATATCATTAATTTTATATATATAATAAAGTAATATATTTTATATATATACATATATTTAATTTATACATAATCATTATTATAACTTATAATAAATTTTATTTATATTATTACATTGAATAAGTTTATTAACTATTAACCTTTGATTTTATAGCATATTATTTATAATTAATTATTATTTATACAAACTTTGATATAAAATATTTTAATATATAAGTTATATCATTAATTTCATATATATATAATTATAAATGAAATTTATAAATTTTAATATTATAGTTTGTAATAAAAAAGTGATAAAATTTTGATCCATTGGTCTAAAACCGGATTAATTAAATCAATTTTATATTTAAACAGTTTGATCTTTCTTTATATTTGATTGGTTTTGATTAATTTTTTTAAAATTAATGAGTCAATTTAATTTTTAAGTATAATGGACTAAACAATTCAATCTACCTGTGCTCATCCCTAGCCTTTTCATTTGCTTTGAAAAAGGAAGGGAGAAAACTCACCTGGATGCCGCCAGTTTGTCTGATATTCACCAAAGAAGTTGCCCTTAGGCAGATGTTTCTGGGAAGGTGATTTGACTTCTGCTCCGCACCCTTGCCTCTATCAACTTCACCTGCTCATTAATAAAGTAAAGAGTCCTTTATCCACGGTCGAGAAAAGAGTAAATTTTAGAATTACTACTATATACCCTCATGTCATCATCTGCGTTTATGGAGTATATAGAAGAAACTCACCATATTTGCGATTTAGATATCGTGAGAGACCAGCTTGTGTTACTCCCATTATGACATCGTTAACGGTCTGGTAACATAAGTGAAAAGACAAAAAAAAAAAAAAAAAAAAAAAAAACATTGGGAAATTAAGGGCATGATCTTCAAGAAAATCGTAACTAAAAGAATTATCGAATGAAATGTACCATGCCCATCGCATTCTTCACTAGTTTTATGTCATCCAAACTCACAGTCCGGTGCACAATCTTCTTAGGGTTTTGCTCAACGCCAGAGGAACCTTTAAGAGGAGTCTTCGTATCTTTCAAAAATACAACTGTTGCCACAAATAGCAGAAGGTCTACAATGGTGTTCAAAATTAACCTTAACACTGACCAAATAGCCAAGAATAACCGAAAAAAACCATGCGGACGCGGGTGTCTTGAATCTGCCTGTTTTTGCTTTGGAATGGTAGGCAAGGCTTCCGGGTCGGATGACTTCCGGCAACTAGCAAGTAGAAGAGAAATGAGAGACATGCCATCACCAATTGAATGGTGGATCCGGAAGATGCCAACAGCCTCTGCCTCCGGGGTTTTCAGGTTGACAAGGTGAAGCTCCCATAATGGTTTGGACAAGTCGAGAGGAATTCTGGTGAGATAGGAGACGTAGTCTTCAATAAATTGGCTTGGGGATTCCATTTCCGTGTCTACTTCAGGGAGTATAACATGATTGTCCACATTTACTTGTGTCTGAATCCATCTCTTTTTACCACTCTTCATCATCTATTAATATTATTGTCAAGAAAGCAGGTACACTTGTAGTCAGCTCTCATGTATGAATTGAAACACATAAAATTCAATAATAGTTAATACATTAATTATAAATCTTTTTCTATAAGTGTTTGCAGGCATAATTTTTTTTAGCATTTATCATAATTAAATAAAAAATCACTACGATATTGAAAAATTAAGGATTATATCTTTTGTTGAGTTTGTAAGTGATTCAAATTTGATAGAGTATACTTTAACCTGTATGAACTATTGTTGAGATAAATCATGCCATCACATGTAGTTAGGTAATTCATGTCTCGATGTGTGACAACTAACATGTAACCACTTGGTATATGTCTCGGCATGTGACAACTAACGTGTAGGGGTGAGCAAACAGGTTGATTGGATGGTTTGATCCACTATACTTAAAGACCAAATGGATCAATCATTTTTAAAAACCCGACCAATACCAACTAAATATAAAAAAAGACCAAACTAATCAAATATAAAATTGGTTTGGTTAATTCGATTTTAGATCAATAGATCAAAATTTTATTACTTTTATTTTACAAATTATAATATTAAAATTTATAAATTGCATCCATAATTATATATATATAATTAATAATATAATTTATATGTTATAATGTTTTATATCAAAATTTGTATAAATAATAACTAATTATAAACAATATGTTAAAAATCTAAGATAATAACTAATAAACTTATTAAATGTAATTATACAAATAAAGTTTATTATAAGTTATAGTAATACTTATATATAATTAAATATATGTATGTATATATAATATATTATTTTATTATATATATAATTAATGATACACATTATATGTTAAAATGTTTTATATCAAAATTTGTATAAATAATAACTAATTATAAACAATATATTATAACATGTAAGGTGATAATTAATAAAGTTATTAAATATAATTATATAAATAAAATATATTATAAGTTATAATAATACTTATTTATAAATTAAATATATGTATACATAATATCTTCTCCATTCTTCTGTTTTTCTACATTGTTTGCCCAGCAGGGTTTTACAAGTCAAAAGCAGATGAAGATACACCCCTTTTCCCGAGCGATAAATTTACCTGATCTATTACACTAAGCTATAATAAAAAATATATATCACTATCATGTGGTTTAGTTTTACAACAAAACATGCGATGCAACAGCTGATAATTCTTTATTGTTTATTCGAATACCAAAGAAAGGCAATGAAGACGAAGAGAAACCAAGACTAACAAGAGGAAAAGATCATATGCAAGATTAGTTCTACAGAATAAGGTATTAGTATGATTTCTTACCAGCTTGCTGGAGAAACAAGGGTGCTTAATCAGAGTCTGCTTTAGTCCCTCTTTGATGACAGCAGGATCAGGCTTGGACTTCCATCCCAGAATCGCTATAACGCAGCAGTTAATACCCGGTTCAAGAAAAATCAGAGAACCAGGACTCAAGGGCACTTCATCCTTCGATACCGGTGTTGCCATGTCCGTACCTATCTTGGCTTCCACTTGATCAAGTTCTTGTATTTCTGTTGAATTCATGGATATAAGACTTTGGTGAAAGAGCTTTGGAACTGAAAGGAGGAGGAGGAGGAGGAGGAGGTTGAATAAATGAGCTTATATAGATCAGGACAGGCGTGGTCATAGGATTGTGAAAATCAAAAGGAAAAACTTTAACAAGAAGTAGGTCGTGGTCTAGGATGGTGAGCTGGCTGGGGATTTCACTTGTCGCCAAAAATTCAAGGCTTTCGACTCAGAGAGGAGCCATTGAATTTGAGTATTGCTTAAGTTACCTGTAAAATTGAGACAATGGAACGCGGTGCTGCACTGTCCATTCCTTTAGCCATGAAAATTTTATTCCTGGTAAATAATTGTGCATGTAGTTAGTCCGTTATTTCTTCTCTAACTCTACTCTATCAGTGCTATTTTCTGATATTTTTGATCTTTCGTTTCACCTCATCTGGATGGATTTTTGACTCTTACATTGTTATTGGTTAAATATTATATTGCGCGGCCAGCAGACAGGTGGGCGGGGGTGTAGCTCATATGGTAGAGCGCTCGCTTTGCATGCGAGAGGCACGGGGTTCGATTTCCCGCACCTCCAGCGTGAGTTTTACGTATTTTGCGGCACGCAGTACAATTCACCGCCCTCACCTCCAACGTGAGTTTTACGTGTTCTTTACCTCAAATGTGAATGATAAAATGATGAGAGAGTGCCAACAGAACGGCAGTCTGAACTTCTGAGGCAAGTTCCTTGACAACTGTGAGTACCCTAAATAAAAAAAACGAACTACTTAAACAGACTTGCATCGGCAGCCCCTGCTCTCTCTCTGTCGAATGAATTCAACAACTAATTGTTCAATAAATAAGATATTAGAAAGTTTAGAGGAGAAATTTTGCACTCATTCCCCGGCTAATCAAGCTGCATCCTTAGCAAGCAACGTCGTTACAACAGCGTCTTTGAAGATTTCGAGAGATTCTTCAAAAAAGTCGCAAAGCAATCACATTGGGATCAACTGCTATGACAATGCCCATCTTATCCATGAAACATCAATGGAAAAACAGGGGAACAAAGGATTCATAATTTCAGCAGAAGATATATATAGTATAATGAATATATGCTAGCATTTTTGTTATTTTGACAAAGGTTTACTTATGAATACACCCTAGAATGAATGTCAAAGACAGAACAAAGAAGAAAAATCCTTGAAGGTTTCAATTTATAGAGGATTATATACCTGGGAATAGCGGTAAACACTGGGAGCAATTAAAGGTATTGTAGTGTTGAAAATAATTCAATAGGCCAAAGCTGCCGATAGCTGCAGTACCACCAGTGGCTTTACTATTTTTACATGAAATTCAGCTCTTTACTCTGATTGAATATGAGAATCAACATATGATGAGAAGTTCAATTGGAACAAAACAGAGCAGAAGAGATTTCTTCTTGATGGGGAAATTTAATTAAATACCTTAGATCCAAATAACTTGACTATATACATTAGTTTGTTAAATATGCGAATATTGCTTCAACAGACAGCTTTTCCCGATCTCCTGTAGCCTGTGGCTTTCGCTCCACGAAGGGAATCTAAAGGATCATTGTGTAAAGCAATGGTGAAAGGGATGCACATGTTTCCGAATTCGTTACCCTATTTGGCCTCGAACTTCCTGTTCATCATATCAGTTAAAGCCGGAAAAGCATTAGGAGAAGGAGGAGAAAATCCAGAGAGCTAAATCCAACAAGGATGGTTAATCAGAGTTTGCTTGAGTCCCTCTTTGACGACGGTAGGATTAAACTTGGACTTGCATCCTATGATCGCTATAATGCAGCAGTTAGTTCCGGGTTCACGAAATATGAGAGAAACAGGACTCAGGGGCACTTCATCTTTCCACGGTGATGCCTTGTCTGCACCTATCTTGGCTTCTTCTTGATCAGTTTCTTGTACTTCTGTTATATCCATTGATAAAGACTTTGGTTAAAGAGCTTTGCTAACTACCTCTGCAACAGTGAATATATGGGAGGTTCAATAAATGCGCTTATATAGATTTTATTAAAAAAAAAAAGAATTGGATTTTACGCGTTGTAGAAATGTAGGTCAAATATCTTGGAGCCATGATATTTGACCTTCCTAGCATTGTCCAGTAACGTGCTGCTACTTCTCTAAATCCTGTCTGTGCAAGGTTCTCCCTGATATTTACCGTTTCCTTGTATCAGCACACAGGCACGGGACTTATACGTGCCTTTAATTGTTACTTAGGCAGTTGGCTAGGGCATATGGTCTGCACTAAAGGCTCTGTTAAAGTAGGATTAGCTTCTACTAAAAGTGTACTAAACAAGCAAATAAAAAGGACTTGCTTCTGTAATCGATCATTTGCAATGATCACTCATTTTTTGATTTCAATTCAATCTCGATTCTTCTTTTTCAATATTGACACCGTAGCTGGTAAAATTTACAAATGAACCACTCCGAACTGCCATTTTATGAGTGGCTGCCTTGTAAAAGGAATTTAAATATGGAATTGCTTTCGCCTCAAGCATGCGGGGGTGTAGCTCATATGGTAGAGCGCTCGCTTCGCATGCGAGAGGCACGGGGTTCGATTCCCCGCACCTCCACTGTTGGTTTTTGTACGTAACGATAAACGCAGCGTTCATATGAGAAAAAAGAACAACAAAAACGCAGCGTTTTAATGTAACGAGGAAAGATAATATTGCAGTGTTTGGTTTGTAAGTACTTTTAGTGAAAATGTAATGTTAATTGTCAAAATTACTTTTAATTATTAAAATATAAGTTTAATATATTTATATTTTTTTATTATTAATTTTTATATAATATTATTTCTTAAATATATTTTTAATATCATATATTTTATTTTTATTTATTATTATAATATTTTATATTTTATTTTTAATATATTTATATTTTTATTATTAATTTTTATATAATATCATTTCTTAAATATATTTTTAATGTTATATATTTTATTTTTATTTATTATTATAATATTTTTATATTTTATTTTTAATATATTTATATTTATATTATTAATTTTTATATAATATCATTTCTTAAATATTATTTTAATGTCATATATTTTATTTTTATTTATTTTTATAATTTATATATTTATTTTTATTTTTTTATATATTTTATATTATAATTTTATTTTAATTTGTTTTACTATATATATAAATGTTAATTTTTTATATTTATTTTTATTTTAATTTTTATTCTTATATTATATATTTTTTATTAATATTTTTTATTTTAATTATAATATTAATAAATATTTTTAATAAGGTAATAAAGTTGAAGGTAAAATTGTTTTAAGAATACTGCAGAGTGCAATTAATGTGATTGCATTGATTTTGGATTGAATCACATTACATCTATTGCATGAAATGTGATTGCATTGCAATTTTACATTGTACTGATCTATTACAAATAAATATTTAATGTAATTTAATAAAGCCACATTGCAAGAAATGTGATTTACATCTCTGATACCAAATGGACCCTTAATTATTACTGGGTGGATTTTAGGGGAAAATCAGAAAGGCATTTCTGTCTTATTCTGTTCTGCTGCTGGAACTCTAATTTCTTAAACTATGAAAGCAAATCCGATTTCCTGAGATCAGCCCATTTCCTTTGTGTTCTCCTCCAACCGTATATTCCATTTATTTTTCTCTATTGAAATGTGGCCTTGACTCCTGTTATTAGTAAGCCGTTTTTGGATTTACACGCCAAAACAAGAAAAGCAAAAAAAGAAAAAAACAAGAAAAAGAGAAACTTTGGCAACTTGTATCTGTCGAGCGTGGAAGGCCACTCTGTCAAATGCCGCTTCTGTGTCAAAGGACTCCTCTGCTTCTCTCTTTCTTCTTTCGCAGGGGAGAATAAAGAAAAGAAACCAAAAAAATTAGGTGAAATGGGTGGGACTTCGGAAATATTCATTGATTTGCGTAGACGTAATCTGATTTCCTTTCAAATTCTTCAGTTCTTGCTCTGTCTCTCTCTCTTTCTCATTTTTATTTTGTGTGTTTCTCTTTCGTACCATTAGGGGGCAATGTTCTCGTGATGTCAGGCACCGCAGGGTTAAGTGTTTGAATGTCCGTGATTGAGAATCATCACTCTTGGTGGCTTAAAAAATTCAATTGTTTGTTCCTTTTGTTCTCTTTGAATTCAAGATTGGGTTTTTTTTTTTTTTTGAAATTTGGAGAAAAACATCGAAGAAGAGAGAAATTTAGAAAACTTTTTCATGATACTTAATCATCTGGATGCAATTCATGCATAAAGTCACACTGTGCCTCCATATTTAACTAATCATGGGAATCTTCTTCTGCTATGCAGCATATTTCCTTTGTTGAGGATATATGGAAGAGCTGAAAGTGAAAACGCAAGACAAGCCGGCCTCTACGAGAGAAATTTTCTGCCTTTCTGGACCTTTGCACCTCACCGCAGTTGACTGGTAAAGATCTTTCTTTCATAAAAGGGAGTTAGTTTAGTAGGAATCCTAACGTGTATTTACATTTTAATTTTAGACAATATGCAATTGATAAACTTGGATGTGTAGGAAATGTTGAACTCCTGGAATTTGTCAATTGATACACAGTGCATCTTAAGAGTTCTTTGAATCAGCATTCTCAAATTGTCAACAGACTAACCAATGATGTGGAGAATGGAGTGACAGACCGTAAATCCACTACATAATGTCTGATAGTTGTTAATCCTGATCTGAAACCCCTTGTCTCTAATGACCTGACCTCATTCAGTTAAATTATTTCGAATAGTATGAAGAAAATATAGATAATTCAACCCCAAGAGGGCTTTTGCCTAAGATTGGGGCTAGTTACCTTGATGCTTTACTCACCATTCTACCTTCTCTAAGGAAGACAAAATTCAGAGGATTGTTGGCACACAGAATCCTAAGGGGCCAAATTCAGTGATTTCTGCAGCCAAAGCTGCACTAATGGACACGTTTTTACCACAACCTGCGAAGCATGTAGTTATGAATTAACATTCTACCACTGCAAGAAGTTTAACCTGTATGAAACTCAGCTGGCATAACTTTGGATACATTCCTTATTAGTTTTTAACGGCAGATACTTTTTTAAAAAAAGAGGTTGTTCAATACAAAGTAAAGGCCTCTTTTGATGGTAGATGTAAGATGTTATTTGTGGCATTTTGGCAGGAAAAACTTTCATCACCGAAGATCTGTTGCTGCAAGCTTGGTTCAGGGAGTGTACATTCTAGAACGTGACCGCCAACAGAATCGCCAAGGCCCCCAAGCTCATGCACCGCCTTGGTGGGACTTCTTCAATTTCCAATTGATCCATCTTCTTGTAGATGATGTTGATAGCTCCATTTTTGGTGCCGTTTATGAATTCAAGCCTTTGGCTTTCAAAAACAAACATTCAGCCCAAAATGCTCCAAATTATGTTATTGCCTTCCGGGGCACCATAAATAAGTCAGACTCCAGGTCTCGTGATCTCAAGTTGGATCTCCTGTGCATCCGTAATAGACTGCATGAAAGCTCCCGTTTTCAGCTTGCAATGCAGGCTGTGGAAAGTGTGATTGCTGTTGCTGGAACTTCAAGTATTTGGTTAGTTGGCCATTCACTTGGATCAGCTGTTTCATTGCTTGCTGGGAAGAACATGACTAAGATGGGTTATAGTGTTGAAACTTACCTCTTCAATCCCCCATTCTTGTCTGTCCCTGTAGAAAGAATCAAGAATGAAAAGTTGAAGCATGGGATTCGCATTACAAGCAGCATAGTCAAAGCTGGGCTCGCTGTTGCTGTGAAGGGTCACCATCAGAGGCATCAGCAAGCTAATACATTTCTTTTACTCTCTGCATGGAAACCATACCTGTTTGTCAATCCTGCAGATCATATATGCTCAGGGTATATTGGCTATTTTGAACACAGGAAGAAGATGGAGGAGATTGGGGCTGGAAAAATTGAGAGGATTGCAACACAGAATTCTATAGGGAGTCTATTGTCAGGTTCAGCACAGAGTGATTCAGGACCACTGCATCTGCTTCCTTCAGCCTATCTCACTATTAATTTGAGTCAGTCTCCAGATTTCAAACGAGCTCATGGAATTCACCAGTGGTGGGATCCTAGTTTTGATTGTCGGTCAGAACTGCATGAGTACAGGTAATCCATGTTCTGGCGTGACCTCTCTAGTGGAAGGCAAGTTAATTAAAAGAACACTGCGGAGGGAAAAAGTTAGATCACTGACATGTTGGTGGAAGAACCTGGGTATTGTAATTTCCACTCGTTTGATACCTTCATTCTAATGTAGACTGCAGAGGGAAAAAGTTAGATCACTGACATATTGGTGGAAGAGCCTGGGTATTGTAATTTCCACTCGTTTGTTACCTTTATTCTAATGTAGACACTGAAGAAAATAGATTGATCTTCTGTTTCCTTTTTCCATGATGTAAACGCTTGTTACCTTCAAATAGGGCTTGAAGCATTCTAATCTCTGAAAAAATGATATACGTTGTGCATGGTTTTTGCAATGCAGAGGAACTTTGATGGGCTTGAGAATCGCACTTGGTCCCAAAACACTGCTAATGTTGGCCTTGCACTTTCTATTTTCCACTGAAAATTTGTCTATTTTAATGAGTGGATCGCAGGTGTTAAGAACTAAATAATTGCTCTTTATTCTTGGATAACGATTTGATGCGATATTCTAATTGATATTGTTTTACTTTATTCGTTTTATCAAACTTATCTTCAACGTACTTTCTCTGATTTAAAGCCAAAAAAAATATTCTCATGGAGTATTCCTGCCTTCAACTTTTGAGGTCCCCAATTTGTGCTGTTATTTAATGTAAAAAAATAGATAAAAAAAAAGAAAAAACCAAAAGAAGACCTGTGTTCGTTAATTTCACGCCACCATGAATACTGCTCATGTTCCAAGACTTGTTTTGCAACTCTCTCTGCCTCTTCCTCTCTCGCCAAGGAAACAAGCTCAAAAATGGCATGAAATTTTCCAATAGCGATTGTATTACGCTTGGAAAACCTTTCTTTATTGGCCTAAAGGTACGGTTCTGAACTCATTAATGTGTTTAGATAAAACAAACATTATTATATACTTTGTCTTAATGATTTAGATGCCTACATATAAGCTTCGGATAATATTAAAATCTCCCCTGCCATGTTCTCGTAGCCAAATCACATATACTGTACTGTAACGGAATCCTTATTTTCCTATGGTTCTCTTTATTTGATAGCACAAACTAATAATTTTACAAAACTTTCAACAGCAGAACAATATTTGTTTTTACTTGCTGCTGCATATCAGAAAACTGTAACACCCAATATTTATAGGCTTCTTCAGAATTTTGTAGAAACGAACTCATAAATAAACTAAAAAAGATGAACATAGACATTAATCTGGTAAGAAATATTTTAAAATAGCAGCACGAACAAAGTAAGCATAATAAATTTCACCATTTAAGCATGTGCAAGAGTATTTCTTTAAGTTATGAGATAAATGGTGAAACGTACTCTGCCAATAATTATTTCTGTCCTCCAAGATGCAAGCTCTTGCTTTGCTTAGCCCACCTTATATGGTCTACAGTCTAGCTAGTCTATAGTTGAGAAAAGGTTTCTGTCTTTTTTTTTCTGATGCACTTACTTCATTCAGTATATTTTAAAATAGGTAATGGCCCCTGACAGTGCAATTTTCAGTCTATCGGGGCCTTCACACCTCACAGCTATTGACTGGTAAGAGCTTCTTCTGTAGCTATCATTTCATGACGGGGATATGGAGACTTCAAGCTAAAGTTTTACCGATATCTTAACTCTAAATAGATTAGTAAAAAGTGTTTCTCAACTTGTAAATTAAGACTGAGAATTTTCGCAGGACAAATGAACATCACCGAAGATCAATCGCTGCGAGCTTGGTTCAGGGCGTTTATGTTCTAGAACGTGACCGCCAAGAGAATCGTCAAGGGCCCCAAGCTTGCGCTCTTCCCTGGTGGGAGTCTTTTAATTTTCAACTAAACCACCTCCTTATAGATGATGTTGATCAATCCATTTTTGGTGCCATATATGAATTCATCAATTTCTCTCGTCGCGATTATTCAGCACCCCAAAATGCCCCACATCATGTTATTGCATTTCGGGGTACTCTGAATGCTCCAGCCTCTATCTCACGTGATCTCAAGTTAGGTCTCCTATGCGTCTGCAACAGGCTTCATGTAAGCTCCCGGTTTCAGCTCGCCATGAAGTGTGTGGAGGATATAGCTGCTACGGCTACCGCGGATGGCTCCAACATATGGTTAGCAGGACATTCACTCGGGTCAGCTGTGGCTTTGCTCGCTGGGAAGAACTTGACTAAGATGGGTTGTTTGGTGGAAACTTACCTCTTCAATCCCCCATTCTTGTCTGCCCCGGTAGAAATACTCAAGCCCCGAGTACTCAAAAACGGGATTCGCTTCACAAAGAGTGTAGTCAATGCAGCCCTCGCAATTGCCATAAAGGGTCGCCAGCCAAAGCCTGAGCGAGATGATCAGTTTACTGCATTATCTTCATGGACCCCTTACCTGTTTGTGAATCCAACTGATGTTATATGCTCAGAGTACAAGGGTTATTTTGAACACAGGAAGATTATGGAGGAGATTGGAGCTGGGAAAATCGAAAGGCTCTCAACACAGAATTCAATTGTTTGTCTCTTCTCAACCGTATTGAGGAAGAATTCAGAGCCATTGCATCTTCTTCCATCAGCTTACCTGACAATTAATCAAAGTCCACTTCCAGGTTTTAAAAGAGCTCATGGGATTGAACAGTGGTGGGACCCTAATTTTAATGGTCAGGTTGAACTACACCAGTTCAACTAATCTATCTGAAAGCACTTTCATTGTGGATAATAATTTGATTGGTTGATGAATCAGTCTGTCCTGTTGAGACCTTGAGAATTCTCCAATCTCTTTGCTGCCTAAATACTAGAAACTGACTTGAAAAACCAGATGTTAAAAGAATGTGAAACCCATTCTTTCCAACATGTATCCTCAACATTGTTGTCGGAATCAGATATCAGTTGGAGCTGGAGTCTTGGACCATGGCTTAAGGAGTTTTGTTGTGCTCCAGCTTGACTCGGTCTGAACATCTTTCTTTGTTTGGAGAGTGACTGACAACATAAATAGCTGTTTAGGTGAATTGTTTAGGTGAATTTCATTGATTTTAAGTACTCCAAATTCCTCAATGGTTTGTCTACATAAAAGAGATGGCATTAGTTTTTGGCTCTAGAATTTTATCTTCAATCATTTAAATTAGGAAAACTACTGTGGATAAGTGCAACCCGACTATTTGATAGACATTTTAAAAATATTATAATATTTATACTCTGAATATTATTTAAATTTATTGTTTTGATATTTCAATCATTTTTAAGATATAAAATCATTCATAAGTTTATAATCAAATTTAAATATTGTAATTTTTTATATAAAATTAAAAAAAAACGTAAATATCTAATTTTATTTTGGTAGAACTAGAAAGGGGTATATTACATCCTAAGAAAGTATTGAAATGTATAATTTTTTGGCATAAAATGGAGTATGATTTTTTTTTCTTTTTGTAATTTTTCTTGAAAATTAGGATTGTAAAATGGGGCAAAAAAGACTACTGCTTGTGCTAAGCCCAACAAGGTTGAATACAAGCCCAGGTAAAACCCATATTGGGCCTCATGGGCCCGAATAGGTTAACTTTTTTCGTACAATAAAAATTGCAGTTTATTAAGTGTTAGATAATCTCAAATTAGAGGAATAATCATCCTTTTAAAAAAAACTTACCCCCTCATAAAACCATTATTAATAATCCTTAAACAACCCAAAGAAACTTTCCTTTTTTCCACACAAATTCAACTCCAGGGGAGTCGACCCAAACGCCCAAAAAAACAAAAAGAAAAAAAGGAAAGAAGACCCCGAATGAATTCTTGCTCAGGAAGAAGGCCGAGAATCATGGCTTCCTCTTTGTCATTACCTCAAAATACCATCACCGACATACTCTCTAGATTACCGGTCAAGTCCCTGACCCGATTCAAATTAGTTTCCAAAAACTGGGCCCACCTCACCTCCACTCCTGCTGTCATCGCCGCCCATCTCCGCCGCTCAGCTTCCGACCCATCTCTTCTCATCCGCCGCTACCGAATCCAAAATGGTGCGGAATTTGGTTTCTGGCTGATCACTAACCCGACTCGAAAGTTTCGCAGCCAGCTCTTGGATTTCCCCTTGGAAGAATCACTACTTCGGTTGCCGAAAATCGTGGGTTCCGTCGACGGTTTGGTTTGTCTCGATGTTTCCCCTTGTCATGCTTCTGATTTTGTTTTGTGGAACCCTGGAACTAAGCAATTTAAACACCTCCCTTTTCCTTTGATCACTTCCTCCAAAAGTAACCCTATTTGGTTGGTCTTTCTTGGGTTTGGCTTTGATTCTTTCAACAATGATTATAAACTAGTCAGGATCGTTTCTTTTAAAAGAAATGATGCGTCGCCATTCTTGAGGGTTGAAGTTTATTCTTGGAGGGAAGGGGTTTGGAAAGAAATAGAAGAACGTTTCGACTCAACTCTGTTATGTGGAGTACCAGAGGGAGTCGTTGTTGATGGTAGTTTGAATTGGCTAGCCATTGGATTACAAGATTTCGCTGATCGAAAGTTTGTTATTTCCTTTGACATGGGAAGAGAGGTGTTTAAGAGAATAGCATTGCCAGCCGTTACTCGATTTGGTAATGTTAAAGTTATGTCTTACATGGGATTGTTGGCTATTGCTGTATATCCTCTAGTTTTTGCTGCTAATGGTATTAATATGAATCGGTTCGAGTTTTGGGTACAGAGTGATGGTGAAGATGGGTCGAAACATTGGACTAGAATGGTTGCGATTGAGAATTTTTCAAAGACTTTGGTTCCAATGGGAACTTGGAGAGATCGTGAAGTGGTAATTAAACATATAGGAGTTAACGATAGAGAGAATTATCCAAGTCTTTTGTTGTATGATCCTGTTGATGAAGGGACGAAAAGGCTTCCAGTTGATGGTGTTGATTTCTGTGTAGAAGGTTACAGTTATGCGGAGAGCTTGGTTTCAGTTAATGAAGAATCTAAGATGGTAGTGGAGCAAAAGCATTCCAGAAAATAGGTCGGTTCGGTCGTTTTCTTAAACTTGCTTAGGCTTTTACTTTAGTAGACATAAGTGAAGAAGTTGAAGTATCTTTTGGCTTTTAAATGAATTTGGATGGATGTTAAGTTCGTAATGTTGCTTTCTGACTTCAATTTACATGGTGAAAATTAGCAATGGATAAGAATGAGTTGCTCTTTTCTGCAATTCTATGTTTTCTGATGAGAGGATGTTTGCTTTATTTTTCTTTATGCTTATTTGGTGATTTCCTCGTTCCTTTTTTTCCAACTAATTCCCAAGAACTAGAAAAAAAAGAAAAGCATTAAATATCCTGTTCACTCTGAGAGGAAACAGGATTTCAGGCCCTGTTAGGATGTGATAGAATGGCAGAACTACCATCAGTTAAGTTAAACATTGTGTATTGAACTATTCCATTGTGTAGCTATTTGGAGTTTGGACCATTTGGAGCTTATTGCGTGTGGTGTGAGAAATAGTGTATAACCAATGCGCACTCTCATGGCTGATGGTGCAGGAAAACTTTGGATTTTCGCGAGTGCAATGCAGAATGGTTGTCTCCCAAAAAAATTGATGGCGCTTTGGACGCGAGGACAGAGTAGCTTAGTATGCATAGGTCACTTGCCAACTGTAGCTGCTCAATTCCTGAAGGTTTGGGCTGCAAATTTTGACAGGGGAAACCGACTGCTTTTCTTTGCTGCTACAAACTTAGCCCTATATACTTTTTGATATTATTAATTAGTATGTCGATTTAGGACCCAAGCATTTGATTTAGTAGGTACTACATAATTCCCTTGCCAAAAGAGTAAAATTCAAATTCCCTTCCCTAAATCCAAAAACAAATAAATAAAATTGTATGTCATAACTACAACTGGTAAATGATTTGTGCATTGACATTTCTCTTTCTCTGTAGTCTGTCATCTGAGATCTGTCTCTCTTATAAATCCTTCTCTCTGCTTTTGCCACGGACTCTGTCTTCAATTACTGCCACTGGCGTCGCTTTGCTTTACGATGAAGCAACTCTGATCTAATCTACTCTAATCCCGGCACACCATACCACTCCAACCTATGTTAATCAAAACTTTCCCTGTAGTGGTCTACACTTGATTCTGCTTTAATCTAAAGCAACCCCATGAGAAGACAGTTAAGACACCCGCCTCAGTACAGGCAAGCTTCGAGCATTGCACAAGCTACTACTACAACTACCGTCCTAGCGAAGACCGTATAATGCAAGCCAATTTTCATTTTCCTCAACTGCTACTAATATCTGTCCCGGAAGTTAACAAAGTACTCTTGATTATTGTATAACCCTAAAACTATTCTCCAACAAGAAACTGCTTTGAGAAAACAACTTGGATCAAATATCAATATGGCACTTTGTCTCATGATATCATTGCATTTTATAATATCTATATTCTATCTCTCTCTTATTTGCAATTCTTGGGTTTGCTCCAAAATTTCTTCTGCTCGATAGTGGACCACAGGGAGCGCAAAGCAATCTCCCCTGTTTTTAAAACCCTCTCAGTTTGTCACTCCTGCTGTGTTAATTGTCCAAACATTTTACTTGAACTTGATTCTTTTTGCCTGTAATTGAATACCATGAAATAGGTGTACTACAAAGGCTGAAAGATGGAAAATCCCATCCCAGAGCTCTATTTCTCAGTAAGCTGGTTGTTCATTGGACTGGACAATCTTAAAAGGTTTCTTCTCTGACCCAAGAAACATAAGGGAGCCTTTATTCTATTTTGTAAATATTTTGCATTTCTAGCTGGCAGTTTAAGATAGGAGGAAACATTACGTATTAGTTCTGATTGTTATTCACATTTCTATGGCGATTAAAAGTTTAACTTCCGAAAAGAAGTAAAGCAGATGAATTCTGCTCATACATGGGCATAGCTCTGTCAGACACTGTAACAATAGGACTACAAAAGAAGCAGACCAAAACGTTTCGTGCAGAGTGCAGAGTGCAGAAAGGAACATCAAACAACTAAATCTGGAGAAGGAAGCACTTGTACGAAATGAGAACTTCAAAAAATTTTCCCAGTCCTGAATTCTCTCACACCATTGTTATCAAGTCTCTTGACTGAAAACGTTGTTCCTTATTTTCTCTCCTCTTTAATACTGCTGACAGCAAACTTGGATCGTAGTTCAATTGCAGGAGATAGTTTCCCCATAAGTAAAACGTCAGGACGAAGGATGGGCCATTCCATCAACACTTCGGCTCAAATCTCTATAAAATCCATACTATCCTGTTTCTGAATGATCCTTTGATAAGATATAAATAATGCTTACCTTTATTCTGAAGATGATGCTGGCTGCACCCACGACCCAAGTCATACGTTCAAATGCTGACGGAGAAAAGAACAACCTTTTGTAATCAATAATGGTAAAAGTTAATACAAATCGGAGCATGAAACTTGCATTTTCACTGGAGTGGTTTTTATTTTATGATTAAACAGATACCCTGTCGAAGGAAAGTTATGAGGTTTTAACTGTCATTTCGACACAAGCTTACTATGATCATCTTTCCTCATTGATCCATTATCAAGGGACTGTGATAGGGTCGTTGTTTTGAACAGAGAGATGACAATTGACAAGAAATGCTCGATGTCTTGATATGCCTGTCCTTGTCTCCAAGCGCCCTTTACTGGAGCATGATTAACATTAATGCCAACACAGCAACTTTTTATCTCATAATTTGTGGATGATGGTGACTGATCGAATGGGGGGAGTGATGTTTCCTCAAGGATCCTATAGCACTTCAGCGATTGTGAATGGACAGCTGTGATGAATTGCAGAGTCAATGGTGGAAATCTCCCTTATTATTTGCAATTAATTACCCATTGGATGGAAATGATCAAGGTCTGCATCTAACACAACTACTGAAGGAATGGAAATGAAATGATAGAGATGGGTATTTCCAATTAAACATGCAGCTGGCAGATTAGGAAGTCTCAAGTCTCCGTAGCTGTCCCATTTTTTGGCAAAGAAGAGAAGATTAGAAGTCGCCGAGAATTTACTTTGATAAGTCATGGAAACTGTATGAAGAACTTTTTGTTACCAGAAAGCACTATACCACCAGGTATAGTGCAGAGAACAGCCCTACAGTGCAGAGAAACTGATGCTGATGTCAGGTTAGTGCCTTAGATCAATCAGCAGAAGCAAGAAAGATCAATTTGGAAAAATAATCTAAGCTTTTAACCCCACCCTGGTGTTTGTAACCTAATAATGGCATAGACGCTGACATTTCTATATCTTGATCGGCCTGTTCTATGTAGACCAAACTTGACCGTATAAACGAAAGAGATAGCATATAAATCAAGCAATAAGGAAAACCAAAAGATATTTCGTTAAAATGTAAAAAGAAGGACACTGAACGTGATAATGGTGTCATTTACCCGAGACCGGTAGCGCAGAGGGTAGGTATAGCATTAAGGAGTTGTGTGCAGAGCGCACATGTACGATGTATGCTGGAAAATGGAAACTTGTATTGATCTTTGCTTCTTTTGTTTCTACTTCTCATTAGCTTTTAGCCCACCAAAAACAAAAATGGAGGATAAATCAATAGCAGAATAAAAATTACAAGCTGTAAAATCTGAATGTATCTGAATCTAGATTTACCAAAGATAGGTAATGATTCATATCAAGAACTGCACCAAAGAAGGGCAACTAGGATGACAGTGAACAAACAATACATGTTTATATTAATTAAATCATAGGGCAATGATCACATGAAATCCAGAAGGAACATGTCCTACCATAACTGCAAAGCAAAGAGACACCTTAACATGTAGTCTGATATTGTATTTAGAGGACCCTACCCCTAGTAATGCAAATATCATCTAATTATAGTAGTAATCTGTTTGGTCATAAGACAACATTATCCTTTAACTTTCGTTTTTCCATTGTTAAAAACTAATATTTGTTAAAAACTAATAACGACCATAATGTTGAGACAATTTTCTATATAAATATGTGATTTGCGAACCCAAGTTGTGATCTTTCAATCACACAATGCAATTAACCCCACATCAACATAACAGATGTGCTATATATAGTGTTTAACATAAAATGGGATAATAAGAAGATTTAGGAGTGGGAGAGTCTAGACTATTTGCAACAGCCATAATGCTAGGATGAGAAATCTTACCCTATTTTCCATCATAGTGGCTGATCTTTTCCACATTGCGAAGTAACCATGCTTGTGTGGGGATATAAACTTTTGGGGTTTTCTTTGTCTTTTAATTTGGTTCATTTCACAAACGTCTAAAGGAAACTTGAGCTTTTTAGCGAAAGGATAACGCCTTGGCTCTCACAACATTGAACCATATGACTATCCAACCAATTCCCATGGGCCCTCTCTTTCCCCTCCTCCTTGGGGCTACTAAAGCAATGATGAACACGTAGGCTAGCTGACCACTAAATGCTTAAGACTGTAGGGTAGAGACTGGGGACTAAGAATATGCACTGTTTTTTTTTTATTTTTTTATTTTTACTTTTTTGGATAATAAATGATGGAATGGTTTGCTTGTTCATATGTAATTGCGTTTATTAATATTTTGGCAAAAAACGGCAGGGATGGATACATAACTGTCAATAATGATGTCATGTGCTTTTTTGCTTGTTGTTCGTGCGCCCTGTGGTCCAAATCCAACGGTAAACGAATCTCCTCCGCCACCACCACCACCCCCACCCCCACCCCCACCCGATCTCTTCAGCCCCATTCCAGTCTGCTGCTTCTCTCTTCTCTGCAAATAGCTAGGTTGTGAGGTTTTACAAGGGAGAATGGTGACTTGACTTGTAAAGCGACGTAAGATGTAATAATGAAAACAAATAAGAAGCATATTTATGAGTCCCTTGTACCCGGAAATCTTTTATATTTCATGAAATTGTGGAGAACTCTTTATATTTACACCAATAAACTTTAACATGGCACATGAAGATTTAATTTTTTGACATTAATGATTCACATAATGTCAAAAGAGGAAGATGACAGGTCCTTCCAAATCCATATATATATATATGCATACACGAAATAATTTCCAAAGGTTGTTTTTCTTCTCTTCTCCAATTGAATTTTACCAGAAATTAGCTTAGTTCTATCACTTAATAACCCTGCTGGCATCCGATGAACTCATTGCAAGATGCAAGAGCACTTTGAAGCCTAAATTCAAAGTTGGGCCAACTGGATTGATTGTGTTTTGTCTCTTCTTTTCACCCTTTTCGTTAAAAGTTTCCTCACTTCTCACCTTACAAGTTTGACTAACGAGGGGCTTTATGAGGAAAAGAAGGACTGCTTGGTTCAGCACTACATCTCGCTACAGCTATTCTACACACAATTTTCGTAAAAATTTGGAGAAGGTCGGTGACTCATTGTCGTTAAGGGTTGATGTAATAACTTGACAAGGTTTTGATCGGTCCAACTTTGCAAGGCCACATGCTGAGGCCTCAATGATTCATTGAAAACCAGTCAATTAATTTTACCGGTTTACTCTTTCTTTCGTTTTTTCGTTTTCTCCCCAGCATGGGTTTTCTGAAGTTTGAACATTCCTGTTGGAAAAGAGTCAATGGCATCTGGATGTGGTCCATAATCTTCAATCTGATAAATGACTCTGACAATTCATATGTCCAATTGCCTACTCTCAGGACTTTTAACATTTCCATAGTATAAGAATTCATATGCAGTGTAAAGTGATCGCCACTGTAGGTATCCTAGATTCATTGTTCAATAAAGAGAGATTTTTCACTGTAAATTAAAGAAAAAAAAAAATCTACGTATCAGTTATAGGCAGTGATCTGCACAGCATTTGATACGCGAAAAGGCGAAAACTAGCACGTTGTAGCTTGTCAAGTATGCAACACTTGTTTTGCAAAATGAAGATAATCCAACTGGTACCCATGTTCCCCATTAATTAGACGTGGGATCCAGGGGTATTCATCACCAATTAAATGTTCAACCATTCCAAATTATTTCTCTGGAAACCCAAATCCCAGCATTAAAGCATCCATCCAAAAGTTTTATTTATTATGTAAGAAAATGGTTCAAACATCTAATCTAAGTAGTGCCAAGACCATCACCAAATTTTCACCCAATGCTAAAACTTATCATCTTAACCCTTCATTTCACAGTTCAATCAAGAGATCAATAGTTATACACCTGTATTAATTCTACCAGAACTATAAACATGCGTACCCTATTACTAATTACTTTTCTATATTAATTCTCAAAATTATTGTGCTAATCAATCATGCCTTGTTCATGATCAAATTTCCTAAGAGAAGCTCTCTCTGTTTTTTTTCTGGGTCTAATTGGTAGGTTCCGGTTATGGATATGCTAGCTCTGCTCTTTCTTCTGTAACTTCCCAAGTCAA